GAAACTCCTAATTAGATTAGGAGGGCTGATCTTTATCTGCAGATAAGATAAGGGATTATCCTTATCTCTTAAAGAGAGTGCAGATCCAAATACAAGATTTGGATTAGGAAACTCCTAATGGGATTAGGAGAACCTCTCTTTAAAGGCTATAAATAGAGCAGCAAGGGGCGAACCAAAACACACAGAAAAGAAGAGATATCTTCTGGTTCGCAGATCACAAGAAAGAAATCTTGTAGTTCGACTACTTCAGATTTCTACCCTTTCCTGCTCTTGCCGCCTCTGCTAGTTCGATCTCCACCTGTAGGAGCGATCAAGAAGAGTTCTTGATATTATCTTTTGGGAGAAAAGATAATCAGAAGTCGTGCTCACTTGCCCTCCATCGAGTTCTTGCTGAAGAATTCGGTTCTTGCTGAAGAACCATCCTGCTGATTCTGTTCCACTCTACGTTGTGTCATCCTCAGTGGGAGCAGTCTTTGGTATTCTCCTTGGGCGTGAACACCTTCGTTGGGGGTTACTACTACTCTGTATCAGGTCTATCCCTTTCCTACCTTTTGGTTTCAGATCTGGTTCGGTTTGGGTTCAAGATTGATCCTTGAAAATGCAGTTTTCTAAAATAGGGAATGTGATTCCCACATGGAAGAGAGAAATTTTTGAAATTTCGCCCAACCTATCTGCAGGGTTCGGCCATCCATATGATGGATCTCTCATCCCTTCATGTTTCTATTGGAATTCTTCTCAACTATTATCTGTAGATGCTGGTAATTACAATTTCTTTTATGTCAAAGGAAAATCATTTGAAACTCATGTTCTTATAATCATGTATACTGCCTTTAGGGTGTATATTAGCATTGTGAAAATATTTATGATGTTATCCACACTCCAAGCCCTTAAAGTAGCACCCTTTATTGATGAAGGCATTCAAGTTGCTGGTTGTAACTTTTAAATGAAAACCTGAGGTATAGAGTGATATTTTTCCATGAGCACACCATTGAATATGATTTAACAAGCCTATCCATACAGAGTTTCTAGGTGAAGGAAAAGTAAAGTGTTGGTAGTGTATCTAATTTTGCATTTAACCTACCTCACTGTGTACTAAATGTATTAACAGCCTACTTATATAATGTCTCTAGATTAATGAAAATAAATAGATAAGAACTGGGTTTTCTTTTTTCTTTTTTCTTTTTTCATTTTTGGATATTGGACTTTTAGTCACCAAGTTGTTTGTAATGTTGATACAGCTCTCAGAGCCATCGGGAATTGTTGATGCAGGAAATGGTAATTTCTTCTTTCTAATTTATACATACATATTCATTAGCTCTTTTCAACTAGGATGTGTTGGATTTGTTTTTACCATTTGGAAGATAATGTGAATGAGTATCTTTTTTTGTTGACAATAATAAAACTATTTGGTTATTGAATATGGTTGTAATGCTGATAATTGCCAAAAAGTGTTGAGGAATAAGCGTGCATGCACTGACATTACTTGGTATAAATTAGTATTGATCCTATCAACATAAATCAGAGAATTGGAATCCTCTTTATAACTGACATAAACTTGACTTAGGGGTGTTTGGTGACAGTGGAGTTAGCCAAACTGAATGACTTATCACATTCTTTGAGTAAATAAATCATTAAGTAGGCAGCAAGGTCCTTGATGGTTGAAACACCTGAACATGACTCAACTATTAACCATCAAAGAGCTTACTCCCTACTCAATGACTTGTTCACTAAAAGACAAAGCAATAAGCAATTTAGTTCATCTAATTCAGCCATTATCAAAGAATTCTTTACAGATACAGGTCATAACCCATGTGGTCCTGACCGTCTGTGGTCTTGGGAAGGGTGGACTGGATACAGACCTAATTGCACCTGGCCCCAGATTTGAATCGACATGCTCAAACTTTCAGTTTGAGGTTTTAATGCAAGTGCTTTTAAGATGATTTTAAGCAAGTCTCAATAAAAGAAATTGGAGAAAAAGGGTCAAATATTGACTTGCAGAATCCTTCGTCAACTGGAAAAGAAGATCCCGTTTCAAATGTTGTTTGATTTGGCTGAAATTTGGTGGCATTAAAGGACACTTATAAAACTCCAATACTGTAGAATTTCAGCTCAATCCAACATATGAAAGTGCCCCAACTATAGACTTTAAGTTGGCTGGATTTTGTATTCTGGAAGTCATGGTCAAAGTCCTAGCCAACAAGTTGACCAGCATGTATAGGAGTTTAAACAGATTGAATTCGAATTGAATCAGGCGATATCCGAATTTGAATCAATATCCGACAGATATTGAAAATCAATGTTCGAATTCGAATTTGATTAAATATTCAAATATTTGATTCGAATTTGACTGATTAATTATTTTAGGTAATTAATAAATATAAAATAAATATTTTATTTATATAAATTATATAAATATACAAGTTATTTATATAATTTAATTATTACATATAAATTATATAAAATATTTAAATTTTTTATATATTATGTGTAAGAATTAAATAATTGTTCGAATTTGAATATTTATTGAATCAGATCAGGTCATATCCGAATTCAATTTGATTGGTTAAATGGTATGAATAGGATATCCGAATCTGATTGATTATGATATTCGAATTATCCGAATTTGGTTCGATTATGTCAAATCTCGAATTGGAAATTGGATTTTTGAATACTGTTGCTTAGTAATTTTCGTCATTACTATTTATAGTAAAAGATGACTTGCTATTTTTAGTAATTTTGGATTTCTTATGTTTAGTGGAATTAGGGAGTTATAGTGTGTCCTAATTTGAAAGGGAAGTTTTTGAATACAGATAGAAATTAGTAGTAGGAATTGGAAATTAGAATCCAAATAGGAGTTGGGAGTAGTACTTTGGGTCCATAAAAGGGTGTCAACAGATCTTGTTAAAGGCAATCTGTTCCATTGAATTGACTAAAGAATTCTTTTGTTTTCTAGTTCTGCCATAGCCAGCAGCTATAGTAGTATTAATTCTTGCTTCGTCTTCTATTTTCCTTTTTTTTTTTTTGCTAGTTAATACTTGTGGCTGAAGCCTATTGTTGAGTGTTGGGAATTCTCTGCTTCAGGTTTTACCATTGCACTAAGCAATGACACTACTTACAGAAACATAAAACATTAGTCAAGTCTGGTCCAAATGATGGGAAGGTTGTACTTCCTCCAACTTTCAACCTTGTGAACCAAATAAAGATAATCAGATATAACTTGTAGACAACATAGTATATTCTAATGTTGTTGTAAAATCACGTGTCAAATTTTATTATGAAAAATGCCTACCAAAACCTTTTGAAATGTGAAGGAAGTAACTCACTACTCATAAAAGAAAATTGTGCATTTTGATATTCAGAATCCAGGTTAGACGGTTTGAACATTTATTTTTATGTATTAATATACTAAATTGAATATCAAAAACAATGGATATTAGAAGTCAGACATTTTTATCTGGATGTCATGTTAGTTTTGACATGGTTGCACACCTTCCTTCTACCCACCTCTGATATTTCCTGCAACTCCATTCCACTGCACTTCTGTCCAGAGAATAAAGCTTTAATCCTCTGGGAAGCAATCGAGTTTACTAGGGTGCTTAGTTGCAATTAATTTTTGTTGCCTTTATGAGTGTTAGTATTTATAATGCTTCTAAATAGTGCAATGAGGCTCCTTCCCTGGGTATAATATATTATGGGCCATTGTTTTGTTTTAGGTTCAGTTCTCTAATTTGCTTTTTATGCAGTGAAACTACAACAGTTGCTCTGTTCAGTGTCTTCATCTTTTAGGTTCCATGTTTTGACACTAGTTAGCTAAGCCTTTAATATCCTGAGTCTTGATTAGTCACTCCAATTTGGAATTTTGTCTCGACAACTTGAAGTCCTAAATGTGATCAGGAAATTGGTGGAAGATACTATCTAAGAATGTGCTGCCCACTTGCGGAACTTTGTTTTGCTTATCCTGTGTGTGCTCTTGATGGGAAGTTTTGGTTGCATAACACTGTTCCACTGGGCAAAACACATCAATTATGATAAAAACCCACAATCCAAAGAGTGAAAAATCATCCTTTATTAATTTCATAAAAAGCATTCTTCGAATGTTTAGCAATGCACTTCTCACAAGGCTTAAGCTCGACCATCTAGATTGTAATTTGAATCACAACTAGGAAATAACCTTTGCTACCTGGATATGGAAAGGGCACTGCTGGACTTGGTATCAGATATGGAATCTACATGAAAAAAGATTGAAATATCCGACACAATATAGCATCCTTAAATAGGTATCTGGCTGGATAACATAAGGAACAACTAATTGGGGAAAACATTTGACTGAATAGACTTTCTAGATGCTAACCTTTTTAAACCAGTTGAACCTAAATCCATCTACTGGTTAAAGAATTTGCTTAAGAAGGTTAGCTGGTTCCCTAAACTGACTTAACCATTGCCTATGTTCATGTACCTGTTACTCTATTCTCCATATCCCACATTTGTACTTTTTTTATTGGTACTAGGTTTTAGTCTTGCATACCTTTCATATCCTATTAATGGGCATCAAGTGGAAATTTTGCATGACATCCTGCAGGAAGACTTCTTATAGCTGATACAAATAACAGCATAATCAGATACTTAGACTTGAACAAAGCAGATCTTGAACTCTTTACTTTGGAGCTAAAAGGAGTTCAGCCTCCCTCTCCAAAATCTAAATCTTTGAAACGCCTTAGAAGGCGGTTAACAGCAGATGTGCGCACTATTACAGTTGATGGTGGTTCGTCCATGGAAGGCAACTTGTATCTTAAAATATCAGTACCAGGAGGATACCATTTCTCCAAGGTCTTTTCACTGACATATTGATTAATATTAATGCATGATTGTCGATTTTATGTTGCACTGGAAAGCATTTTGATCCTTTCTATTTTCAACTTGCATGCTCCATACCAATTTCAGGAAGCACAAAGCAAATTCAGTGTTGAAACTGAACCAGAAAATGCTTTAATAATTGAACCATTGGATGGGATTATCACTCCTGAAGGATCTGCAGTACTTCATTTCAGGAGATCCTCAACATCATCTGCCATTGGTAGAATAAACTGCAAGGTATGCCTCTTTGCAGAAAGGCTCTCTGGATTTACGTATAGAAGTGAATCAGTCCTCTAAAACTGATGTAAACTTGATTAAAAGTAGAGAGAAAGGTAGAAGAAAAGCAGAAAACAGCAGTACAAAGGAAGAAGATGGAGAAAAGAAGAGGAGGAAGAAGAAGAGTTCGATGATCTCCTCTCTCCTCTCTAATCCTTTTGTTAATCTTCATTCATTAAGTTAATTACAAGTATGCCCTTAAGTAGGCGGCTGATTAAGCAAGAACTTAAAGTAAGCTTATAAAAAAGAAGTAACATGCCCATAAAGACGGATCCATTAACAAACAAATAAGTAACACACTACAAAAATAAAAAGAATAGATACTAGGGCTCATTCGGCCCAGTCTCTCTACACTCCCTCTCAAGCTGAGCATAGATGTCAATCATGCCTAGCTTGCTTATATAGTGTGTCAACTTCCCTCTTGGAACTCCCTTGGTCAAAACATCAGCCAATTGTTCTTTTGAGGCAATAAATGGCAAGCAAAATTCTCTTGAATAAACTCTTTCCCGTATAAAATGTCTATCAACCTCAATGTGCTTAGTTCTGTCATGTTAAACAGGATTATGTGCAATGTTGATAGCTGCCTCATTGTCACAATAGAGCATTATTGGCTTTTCATAGTCAACTCCCAATTCTTCTAAAAATGATTGCAGCTACAGTAATTCTGACACACCATGTGCCATTGTGTTGTATTCTGCTTCAGTAGTGGATCTGGCAACTACAGATTGTTTCTTACTCCTTCATGAAACAATGTTCCCTTCCACCAAAGCACAATATCTCAAGGTGGATCTCCTATCATCAATACATCCAGCCCAATCAACATTAGTCTATGCTTTCAGCTTCATGTGTCCATGCTTGGCAAATAGAATACCTTTCCCTAGAGTACCTTTCAAGTAACACAAAACTCTTTCTACAGTAGCTAAATGTGTATCTCTAGGAGAATGCATAAATTGACTAATAACACTCATTGCATAGGAAATATCCGACTGAGTCATGCAGAGATATAACAACTTCCCAAGTCTCTGAAACACTCCCCTATCAGACAAAAGTTCACCATTAGTAGCAAAAAGCTTATGATTGGGATCAATAGGGGTGGAGGCCAGTTTAGCACCAAGTTTACCAGTCTCTACAAGGAGGTCAAGAACATACTTGCATTGAGAAATGAAGATACCATCCTTAGATCTAGCAACCTCAATTCCCAATAAATACCTAAGATCTCCTAAATCCTTGATCTCAAATTCAGAGTTAAGAAACCTTTTGATTTTACTGACCTCCTGGGTGTCATTACCCGTGACCACAATGTCATCAACATAAACAATCAGAAAAGTCACCAAAGAGTTGCTTCTTTTCAAAAATAAGGTATGGTTAGATTGAGTTTGTGTGTAACTAAATGAGACAAGAGCAGCCCTAAATCTCTCAATCCAGGCCCGAGGGGACTGTTTGAGACCATAAATGGATTTCTGCAGTTTGCACACCTTCCCTTGCATTTCCTTTACATACACTCCCTGAGGCAAAGACATATAGACCTCTTCATGTAGATCTCCATTCAAGAAGGCATTTTTAACATCAAACTGGTGGAGAGGCCAATCAAAATTAGCAACTAGAGACAACAAAACCCGAACTGAGGTCATCTTGGCCACAAGAGCAAAAGTCTCAAGATAGTCAATACCATACATCTGAGTGTAGCTTTTAGCAACCAATCTGGCCTTAAATCTCTCAATAGATCCGTCAAAATGATATTTAATGGTAAATACCCATTTACAACCCACTGGTTCTCTCCCCTCGGGCAAATCCACAATATCCCAGGTATGGTTCTTATGTAAAGCATCCAGTTCAGCCATCATAGCATCCCTCCATTCAGGTTTAGATAGGGCTTCTAGTATAGACCTGGGTATCACATGGGAAGAAATAGAAGCAAGAAAGGAGTAATAGGTAGGGGATAGAAGGCTAATAAGACAGGTGTTTAGAGATACAATGGGTTGTAAACTTCCGCTTGCCTTTGTGAAGGGCAATAGGAAGATCAAGGTCTGGGTAGGAAGTAGATGGGTTAGAAGAAGGTTGACATGTTACCTTAGTAATGATGGGAGGAGCAAAAGGCTCTTTTGCAGGAGTGGAAACAACTTGCCCATGCCCGAATCTGTGTCTTTGGTACCACCTTTGGAGAACAGGATGTGAGGGAATTATAGGAGGATGAGGTGGAGGAGGAGCAGGAACACTTGAGGTAATCACAGTGGGAGGAGAGGACAACTCAGCAGATGACTCAAAAGGAATAGGAAGAGGAATTGCTGGAGACATAGCCAAGGGCTCCTCAGATTGTGCCCCCTCAGGAGGAATACTAAAGAAAGGAGTAGACTCAACAAATGTGACATCCTGAGAGACAAAGCGGGTGCCACTGACTGGATCAAAACAACAATATCCCTTCTGTGTGGAGGCCTATCCTAGAAAAACACACTTATGTGCCTTAGGTTCAAATTTGTGTCTTTGATGGCTATGAACATGTACATAGCAGGTGTACCCAAAGACACAGAGAGGAAGAGAGAAGAGATTCTCATCAGGAAAGAGAAGGCTAAAGGGGGTTTTGAAACCCAGAACCCAGGAAGGCATGCGGTTAATAAAAAAAGTAGCAGTAAGGACAGCATCTCCCCAAAATTTAATAGGAAGATGGGATGCAAAAAGGAGGGATCTGGCAACCTCAACCACATGGCGTTTCTTCCTTTCCACCATTCCATTCTATTGTGGAGTGTTGGAACAAGAACTTTGATGAATAACCCCAAAAGTCTCAAAGTAGGATGAGAGGTTCTTCTCAAAATACTCCTTAGCATTATCAGAATGGAATATTTTGATTCAGGTGTTAAATTGGGTAAGGATAAGTTCATGAAATTTTTGTACAATAGTCAGTACTTCATCCTAAGATCTCATGAGATAAATCCAAGTGTAATGAGAATAACCATCAATAAAAAGGATAAAGTACTTGTAACTGTTGACAGGTGTATTATATGTACTGTACACAGGTTTAGTACCCGCAGGAGTATTTTTGTAATTTTGCAGTCCTATTGTGTTGTACGGCCAGTATAGTATAAATACAATGCTTCACTCGACTAAAACAGAACTTTTGAGGCCTCAACTCAGTTGCCTCTTCTTTTTCTTCTTCTTCTTCTTCTTCTTCTTCTTCTTCTTCTTCTTCTCATGCTCAACATGGTATCAGAGCAGGACCGTCTAGGCCTGGAAAACAACCAGCCGAGGTCTCTCTCCACTGCTGCGTAGAAGCTTAGTCCTGATGCTCGAAGACAAGGAAGAGGAAGCATTCTCTAGTGCTGCTGCTAGTCTCCACTGCCGAGTAGGGTTCTGCTACAAGAAAGTTGACTGTTCAACTTCCTAGCGCAGAAAAGGGTTATGCTACAAGTTTTTTCTTCTTCTTCCTTCATCCTTCAGCCTTAGGTGCTGGTAACTGGAGTTACTCGGCTAAGAAGACTGTAGAAAACCATCCCAGATGTACGAAGGAAGGTTCTGATTTGAAGAGAAGTTCGAGTCCTTGATTGTACTGCCTATTCACAGTTCGGGTGACCTAGGTACTGAACTGATTTTTTCTGTTTATGGTTCTCTTCTTGTACGACTGTTGATGTCCCAAAATCTGAGTAGGGACTGTCCCCCTTCCTCTGATTGTGTGTTTCTCTATTCTGCTCTCTAAGGGACTGTTGATGAACCCTAGACCCTAAGTGACTGTTCGGCTGCCCTGGAAAGTGGATATCAGCCGATTAGGTGTGGTGAACCACCACTCATATTGCTGTTCCTACTGAGTTTTTATTTTTTTCAGCTGAGAAGTTGTACTAAAGTTGTAAAACAGTAGGTCATTCAGACCTGGTTACACTGCAAGTGCAGTTCGTATATTGTTCTGTGGACTCCTACACAGTGTAGGTCATACAACCTAGTACTGCTGCTGCAGTGTTTGTGCTTGGTTCCCTGTGAAACCGAAAATCTGCAAGTGCCTAGTTGTGGACTGTAGCAGCTCTGCAAGGCAGTGTGCCTTTGGTTTTGTGTACTTCTAAAC